CTTCAAGAAAACCACAACACCTAGCCTCAATCGAAGTTCTGAAGACTCAATCAAAAGTTCTGAAGAGTCAATCGATGATCTTAAAACCATAAACCCGCCATTTTTTGTTCCCCCAATTTGCCTCACGTGTATGGCACCATGTGGTTGAGGATGAAATGTCCATTTTGACCTTTGTATTAGCCTTTTGTATCAGTAATGCATGTGTAATGCTATTCGTTAATTATTTGAACGGCAGATACAAATTTGACTTGAAAGACACAAATTATTAAAGTTTAGGTACTGATGAAACACAAAACAATTTGTTAAGGGACAAATTTGAAAAAAGCACGTATAGTTTAAGAGTTAAAAACTATAATTTAACTCTTATAACAATGAATAAGTGGCAACAAATTATATCAAATTCCATTAAAACACAAACAAAATTTACTTCAATCCAAAACCTTAAAATCAGTAAATTTTAAAGGATGATTACGTGAGAAATAATAAGATTGAAATTCAAATAAAGGAAATGAAACCAACAGCAAACCAGAGTCAATAGGTTTAATTGAAAAAAGTAAATGGAAGAAATGTACCGTGACAACACTTTCGAAAGCAAATTCTGGCACCCAACCTCTAGAGATCGGTAGGAGAGATGAGAAAACGAAATGAACTAGCTTCGGTTATGTGATATCAAGTTCAATAGTGTATACCGTCCAAAAAGAAGAAAAAAAAACATGCATTTTTGAGCTTTTTCAACAACTTTTTCATTTTAATTCTTTTACTTCTGAGCAAAGTTTTGTCTTAGATGGAAATCCATTTCGTCTGAAAGCGCAGATATTCTATAGGTTGTTTTGAGAAGATAGTTAAAAGTTGATTTTTTGACTTTTTTAAATTTTTTTAAAAAAAACATGTAAAAACTGCAAGAGAAATTATGACCCAAAATAAATTAAAAGGTGAATGATGATTTTTAACCATCTTTCTTAAAATAAACCTATATATAGACACCACAATTTAGAATTTTATCGGCTATGAGTCACTGCCATCTCACCTGATTCAAAATTTTGGTCACCACTCCCCAATACAACCTTCTTGACACCTCTTCACATGAGACTCATTTATAAGGAAATTATTTGGTGGTCCTGGACATAATTAGGTTGTGCCAAAAAATATTTTAATTGGTACACCTTTGTATTGAATATCAAGAATAAAGAAGTTTGATAATTGATTTACAACAGAAATATAAAGGGGTATTTTTTTAAGGTCCTTGATATTATGATTTTATAGTATAAAGGACATCAAATATTTTCATGATGTCTAAGGTCCCTCAACATCAATCCAGAGAAAATTGGTCCAGAGAAAATTGGTCCAGAGAGATTTCAATCCAGAGAAAATTGGTCCAGAGAAATTTCAATCCTGAGAAAATTGGTCCAGAGAAAATTGGTCCATAGAAATTTCATCCAAAGAAATTCTGAATTTCTCTGGATTCAACCCAGAGAAAATTCAAATTTCTCTGGAAATTGTGAATATATATATATAACTATGATTGCCAAGGTGTGAAACATTAGAATTGCTCTAAAGCAAAGTGACCATTCATTGACCAGTGACCATGTGTTTAGTAGTATCACAATCATACTCCCAGCAAAAGTGACAGTATTGAACACCAAGAAATAGAAGATTTTTGGTAATCGATGAGAAGCCGATATAAGATCTTTAAAGCTTATTGCTGCCAACTCAACACCACGGTTTTCCCGTGGATAAATATTTGTCAAACTGAACAGACATGAGTAGGTAGCCCCGGCTAAGAAGATGAAGATGAATCAAGCATGGAAACATTTTGTAAACCAGCAACAACCATTAATTAATCCTACTAACAATTCTATTGCTCAACCATGGTAATCATTTTCTGGGTTAGTTTAAGCATCCCTTTTGCTTAAAAGACAAAAAACACAATCTAGATTCTTTGCTTTCACTGCATGGTTTGAAAAAAATGTGTCATGTTTCTATCAAAGAGACATTTCAACCCCAGAGAAAATCCCCTCCAACCAGATAAATTCACTTGTAAATCCCTTGAAACAATGAAAACATACCTGGGAAACATAGCAAGCCATTTAATCAGCTTCTTTCTCAACACCTTCTCCTCCGAAACGAAGGCTCTGTGTCCCAACACACGCCATTGCTTGTATGGTTTGGTACGCCTTCTCTATCCTATCTGTGAATCTATTATAAATTCTTTCTGTTTTGTTGTTCTTTAGTGTTATTGCAATGTTCTTATTGGAATTTTAACATGTTGCCACATAACAGGATGCAGATTTAATCATGTTGGCTTTGGCTACCCATGAAGTCCATTTTGCAATACTCAGGGAGAGTATCACAATCATACTCCCAGCAAAAGTGACAGTATTGAACATCAAGAAATAGAAGATTTTTGGTAATCGATGAGAAGCCGATATAAGATCTTTAAAGCTTATTGCTGCCAACTCAACACCACGGTTTGGTTCAAATTTGCATGATTGTTTAAGTTGGGAAAATCGTTATAATTTTGTATTTAAAGTTTATAGGTAGGAAAATGAGAAATAAATGCCATGTTTGGTTTGATTTTTTGAGTCTTTTTTTTTTTTTGGTGATGCAGACTAAGAAGCACAACCATTGAAGGAATGAAAATTCAAACTAGAGAAAAATCAAAGAAAATTGAAACTAGAGAAAATTCAAGGGTAATCCAGAAAAAATTACTAAATTCAGAGAAAATTCAAAGGTAATCCAAAGAACTCTGTTCCAAAGAAAATTGAAACCAGAGCAAATTTAAGGGTAATCCAGAGAAAATTACCAAATTCAGAGAAAATTCAAAGGTAATCCAGAAAATGTCAAATGTCTACTGGATATATAAATAGCGCAATCAACAATTCAGAGTGTAAATATATGAAAACACCACTTTTGCTTTTGAAAAACAAAAAATATAGAAAATTATACATGTGTAAATAATTCATAAAAAAAAAAATGAAAAGAAAAACAATGTTCTGGTGACAAAACAAGAGACTTGTTTCGAAACTTTTACCAACCTGCACGCAACGAAATGCTGGAACAAGGTTAGCAGCAGCAATGCTTGTAAGAGTTCACTGTCGAATCAATCTGTCTCAAAAGCTCTTCAACAATCTCATTCGTTATCTTAATAACTCCATAAGCAACAACAGGCAATCCTGTGTACTTATTCGACCTAGGCAATCCACCGGCAGTGAAATTCTTAAAATTACTAACTTTTCCTGAAATCTTCTCAATTCCAGTAACTAACATCTGAGCAGCAGTCTCGATCTCCGACCTCGACAACTCCTTCGCCTTCACGGTTTCTTCAAATTGCTTCGCGAGCTCGTCTCTCTGCATTACGTTTCCGATCACGCCACCGATTCAAGCTCAGGACAACGTGGATGGGGAGAGGATGGGGTGAGGGACCTTAAACTACAAAAGAACAGATTATGGACCTAATTCATTACTAAAAGTTTGATAGGGACCTTAGACCGATTTTCCCCAAATTAATAAGAATAATACCATCTTTCAAATTATTATTGTCATGACACAAAAAATTAAGGGCAAATTTCACTTTACCCCCTGACATTCGGAAATCAACACATAACCCTCTTATGGTAGATGGACTAAAACGCACTGTTAGCTTTTCTGTTTAAAATAACAGAATGTGAAAGTCACGCGCCTCTATAGAGAGTGAATCTATTTTTATGACGAAAATACGCTTTCTACCTCTTCAAATTTACAAAAGATGCCATTATATGAGATTGCATATGTATAAACTGAAACTAGTTCAATATTTCTCACCAAATTACTCAATTAATTATATTCATCAAATAAAGAAACCATAGAATTTAGATCAAACTATTTTTCATCTTCTTTTTTTTTTTTTCTCTGAGTAGAAGTTTATAGATCTAGATATTTTATATATATATATATATGCATATATATACAGTCCAATCAAATTTTTTTTTAGTTTTATAACTGCTGAATCAAACTATATATATATATATATACAACCCAATAAAAAAAAAAAAATTAATTTTATAACTTGTGAATCAAACCTACTGACACAGCGCATTTGTGACATTAGTGAAATTTGTGAGATTGAAAAGTTCAAACAAGGAGACTGAAGCAGAGGAAACCCAGAAGGCCCATTTTAGAGGTTCATTTGAATGTGCATTTGTTTTGAAGATTGAAGGATGTGTAAATGAGTTTTTGAATGGATGGAGATATGAAGAGACGTGCAGATCTAGAGAGAGAGGAATGGGGATTTACATGACTAGGGTTTTAGAAGGAGCGGGCTAAAGAAGAAGGAGAGGAGAGAGAGAGAGAGAGAGAGCTATGAAATGTGAATGATGATTGATGAAAATGGAGGACTTGAATGAAAATAGAGAAACTCCCTCCAATTCCGCCGAGACAAAACTTTTGCATGCACGCATTCAGATTCTCGCTCTTTCTGTATTTGTGTTCGAGACGAAAGTGCAAAGAGAGAAGAAGATGAAGAGAGAAAGAACTGATTTCCTTGAATTATATATGAGGGTATAATTGTCAATTTACAACTTCTGTTAACAAAAGTTTGTGCGTTTTAGTCCATGAACCACAAGAGAATTATGTGATGAATTCCGAATGTTAGGGATAAACAGCACCTAGCCCAACCCATAGGGGGGTAAAGTGAAGTTTGTCCAAAAATTAAAACTTGGAACTATTGTCCCAAAAACTTCAAAATTAAATTTATGATTAGAGTGTAGGCACATGGGCCATGGCATACAATATCGAACTGTTTGCAATGGACAACATGACTGGCAAGATGCCAAATTATTTAATAAAACCAACGTTCTTCCAAAGCGTTATTAACAAAAACAAACGGTTTGGAATTTACAATTGAAACTCATATCAACTTGAAAAATGACTCCAACTAATGTAATCTGAAAAACAAATTTAAAGTCAGATTTTAAAATCACAATTTCACCATTAGCTTCCAGAAACAATTTGAAGTTCGATACTTTACTCAAATCTCAGCATATTATATCACAGTATCAACAGCATAGCAGCAGCAGGTCTAAAAATTTTCAAGATGAGATATACTTATTACTCCAAACATTAAATCCAACAATTTTCCAAGAAGCTAAATTGGTTTTATAGGCTATATAATACAATAGAAGCAAACAGCATTTTGCCAGAACAAACCCAATAGCATCACTCAATTCCAGGTGGAATGCAGCGAGTCCACAACATCAACACTTGCTTTAAACAACAGAATCACCTCTTCAGATGTGTGCCGGAAATTCTTGATTCCTCCGAATGCATAGTTCCAACTTGAGCTGCCTGCAAGACCCAACAAAATCACTCGGAACCAGAAGAAACCTCTTCAGAGGTGGATGCTCAACCCGCCCAGGAATGCTTTCTGTGAAAGATTGCAGTCTCACGGAGCTTTCACCGTTTCTTGCTATGAGATCGTATGCAAACGCTCTCTTTGTCGAGCTTGGTCCAATACAACTCACGTTAACAATATTTCCAAGAGGGTCAATCCCATTGTTGAGAATAAAAATGCCACCTTCGCTTTGTTCGTGAAGAATGAGGCACTTCTGTTGCTTTTCTATGGATATTGGGAAGAGGCAGTTGTAACAGAAGCGCGTAGTGGAGTTAGAATGTTTGCTGGTGAAGTGTAGGGATAAGTGCTTGGAGGATCCAACAAAGTTGCATTCAGGAAGAGGGCACAAGCATGGTGCGTAAACACATGCCTCCTCGTGGTCATGTTTCTTACTGTAACTCACCGCTTCTTTGCACCCATACTTCATGTTTTGGCATGATATTTTCACTGATTCAATAACTTTCTCAATGGCCCGGCAACGGTTATAACCAATTGGCCAAGCGCAAGAAGGACACTGATTTCCAAGCTTGAAGCAACAGGAGGAACAAGCTACATGGCCATTCTCACACTAAATTGCCATTTATGAAGATCAAAAAATATATTTATATTAGAGCTATTGTTATCGGGTATAACTTGCAATTAAGTATTCACAAAGTGCCACCAATGGCAAAGCTACAGTTCGAGTCATGCATTTAAACTTCTAATGCATCATGTAATTTTTAATGGAATAATATAGACACCCAAAGTTCCTCAAATACCAGACACATCATGTAGCTTCAACGACCATCGGCATGGTAAATCTTGTATAAGAATGGAAATGGATTATATTTCTCTTATCATTTCCGAAATTACAAAACAAACTCATGCACACAAAAATTTTCAGAACAAGTCATGATGAACTTAAATTATTCAAGTCAGGAATCCTACCATATTAACAGGGATTGTCACTCAATGTGAAAGTATCGAAACCGTCATGAGTAAATGGAAAAACTAAAAACGATTAACAACGTGACTTAAGGTGTAAATAGCACATGTAGACCACAATGCTGGTGAAAAGACCAGGCTGACTGAACCAAATGCAGCCAAAATGCTTTCAAGAAAATAAAAACACAAGCACAACAAAGACTTAAGGTGGTTTGTCATCCTAAAAATGATTGGCTCTGTGTGTGTGTGTGTGTGGGAATGGGGATATCTTAACACCTAGGAAATTAGCAACCTTTCTTTCAAAAAAACTGTGATTAACCTTTTAAAAAAGTGAATTGAATAAATTGCCTTTCAGATTTCCCCTGAAGGGATACCCAAGCCTTAAGCATGGTTCAAATTCAAAGCATTACCGAGTGAGTTTGATTGACCAAGTAAATGGAGATGTTTCAAAAGTGTACAGCAAAGTATAATCAATGCATACGACACCCAAAATAACCAAAAAAGAAATAACATGTTGTAAAATAGAATTTGAAACCAAAAATAAGCATTGATACAATTAAAAACTCGTATGCAAACATGGTTCTTAATATATAGGTTAGACATATAATATAAAAAAAAATTCAGAATGTAGCTAGAAAGTTCATCAACTATGTATAAAGATACTGCATCGTAATAGAATGCCTTTTTTTCTCTCAACATTTCAATGATTTCAAAACTCTAGATATGCCTTTTTTCTAGTAATCATGCTGTTAATCAACAATGTTATGAATCATAATAGAAATAAAAAATATGAACATTCAGTTTCCCAATCATAATCATGTGTACACTTAATATGAAGTGAAAGCACTTAGTCGTTCGTTAATACTCGACCTCCTCAATTACCGCCGTCATTGTAAAGGCATTAACATAATACTTTTAGATAGTATTTGGTAACTGTAACAGTTAATGAGCAGTAAATAAATATGAACACACAATAAACATACATACTGCCCAAAAAAATTCCAAACTACGCTCAGGTGATATGGTCCAAGAAGTAGTATGAACAATATGATCCTTCTAGTCATCCATATGTCAGTTGTTTATATCAAATTATAAAAAAATTAAAAAGAATGAATGGCTGATTTGATTGAATTACCAAACCCAATTCTAATAGAAAAGGTTTGGGAGCGCATTGATAGGGTGTAGGGTCAAGTATAGGGGTAAGTACATCAAAAATGTCAAGGTAAGGGTAGAGTATGAAATTGTATGAATAACGAAAATCAAGAATTCGTGCGCGAAGCAATAAAAAACCAGACCCATTGTCATCCCTACATTGGATCCAATTTTTAAACTTTTTCATTTTTTATTTTAAAAAAAATGGCTGACATTTGGACAGGTTGCGACAAGAGTTAAAAGAGTTTTCATGAATTTCACATAAAGAAGTACTTTTAGCTTTTATTCTACTTCCCAAGCAAATCTGCTGTCTTGACAGTTGACATACATACTCGAGGTATAAAAACACAAACTTGCACGACCACTTCCATGGGCTTCAACAAAAACTGCTGAAAGATCTTAACATGTTTTGACACTTGAATTCATGCCTTCAGAATATTCCGTCCCAACGGAAACCACCAAATAACTGGTTCTATTCTGTCAACCCTATTCACTAACAACCTACAGCATCACCAATCCTTCACCTTTTCTTTCATCAAAAAGTGTTCAAAAATATCTCCAATCCTGTAATCACATGTTCTTCGAATCAAGGGAGTCATTTTTTTCCCATCAAATCAAGAACTCATCAAATTTGAATTTGATGAAAATTTAAGATGGAGATGATTTTTTTTTTTGGTCATCAAATTTCATAAAAATGGAAACTTGGGATAAGAAGAGAACTTCTAAAAAGATTTTAATGAAAATTTGATGAAAGGATTGGAGTGATCTATATAAAATCAAAACTTTTACACTCGAAACTATTCCATTGGATGCAACTCTTCACTCAGTTTTGAAAAAAACAACCTGTGGTTAATTACCATATGATCTCAACCCACCTACTGACTATACAATACAGGGCTTTTAGAAATACACTCATATAAATCAACCCAAAAACATCAAGAAAACTACAATAGCACAAATGATCGAGGGAGATAACGGACCTGAAAGACAGGAATGGTCAAATGTTCGAGGCAGATAGGGCAATCGAGCACATCTGGGTCTGTTAGGGTAACGGAAATTGAACCGTCCCCGCTGGGTCCGAGCGAAACACGTACAGCATGAGATCTCTCAGCTTCGGTTTCACCGTCGTCCTCATCGTCTTCATCATCATCATCATCATATTCAGATTCTGCTTCTTCATCTTCATCTTCATCATCTTCTTCTTCTTCTTCTTCTTCTTCTTCGACTACTGGTTGGTCGCAGCGTCGAAATTGCTGTTGTTGTTGAGGTTGTGGAGGGGTGGTGGTTCGCAGTTTCTTGGGTCTTGGACTGCTAGGTCCTTCGCTTTCATCTTCTCTTCCCACAGAAAATTTCGCCATTCGAATCTCTCCCCCTATCTCTTCTACACAGACTGATCGTAGATTTCCAAATTCGAGTTTTTTGGGGAAATATCTCCTTTTATACATGGATTTTAAAAAAAATCCCCCCCCCCCCCCAAAAAAAAAAGGTCTTGGGGTACAACAGCTAAAGCAGAGAGTATAAGTATCTAAAGCACAAAGTGAGAACAATTGTTTATCACCTTCTTCTTTTTTTAAGAAAAATCATAAATAAATAAAAATAAGAGAATTTATTACTTTCAAGTGCTTGCATACTAATTAATTTTAGATAAATTACTAACAGGTTTTAATTAGGGCTGGGAATAGGGTTATCCGAACCGCCCAAACCGCCTTATCTGATCTGAACCACGCACGTATGGGCGGTTTCGCAAACACATTAGGGTAGGGTGTGGTTTGGATTTTATGTAATTTTCGGGTTGCGGACGGGTTGCGGATTTAACCCACACCTGTCCGAATAAAACACTTTTTTTTTTGTGTACACTTAATAAATCTAATCTAACCGTTTAAAAAAAAAAACTCCATTTTCTTTTCCTTCAAATCCAACCGTTCAAAAAAGAAAACTCTAATCAATATTATGTATCTCTCACTCTATCTATCTCATTCTGTGTCTCTCATTCTCACGCTCACTCTCACTCTCGCGATTTTCATCTCCACTGCCTACACCCACTGATCGACTCTCTTTGTCTTCACAAGATGAACTAATCGACCGATCGACCGATCGACCTCATCGCACACCTCACAAGTAAGCTCCTCTCTGAATCTCAGTCTCTATCTATGTCTCTCTCTCCCCGATATTTGGTTTTTTTTCTAACAAATGAGATCTGTCTCTCTCTGACTCTGATCTGTCTCCCTCACTATCTCATCTCCTTCACTCTCTCATCTCACAGTCTCTCATTCTTTGGCTTTGCATTTACTACACCGATCGACTCTCTCTCATCACAAAATTGACCGATCGATTGACTCTGTCATCGCACTGATCAGAAGTAAGCCTCTCTCTCTGTCTTTCTCTCTTTCACTCTCCCCGATCTTTGATCTGTCTATGTTTGGAGAATCAGTTGATAGATTTGTTTTGGATCTGTTCATTAATGTGGTATTGGATTAATGAAGGACATTTTTTTTGGAATCTGTTTTGAATCTGCAACAGATCTGTATTTTTTGTTTATGTTATTTGTTGATAGAAGACATTAAATCTGTTTTTGGAATTAATCTGTTTTAAATCTGTTTAATTTGTGGAATCTATTTAATTTGTTTTAAATCTGTATTGAATCTGTTTTAAATCTATTTGTGGAATCTATTTAATTTGTTTTAAATCTGTATTGAATCTGTTTTAAATCTATTTGTGGAATCTATTTAATTTGTTTTAAATCTGTATTGAATCTGTTTTAAATCTATTTGTGGAATCTATTTAATTTGTTTTAAATCTGTATTGAATCTGTTTTAAATCTATTTGTGGAATCTATTTAATTTGTTTTAAATCTGTATTGAATCTGT